TTAGGGAACGTTAGGATACTTAGCATGCTTCAATGTTTTAAACCTTTGCAGCACCTGGTTACTTACTTGGCAGTATGCTTCTTAACTGAAAATAAATTCTATAGTTTACATTCTACAGTTTACATTCAGCCTTGCAATATTTCATTTCTTTGACTTTTTTCAGTATCGCAATATGTGCTGCCTGTGCATTAGGTCAGCAGATAACAGTTCCACTTTAATTTTTGCTAGGACTATTTTCATTTGTTTTACTCACTGGCCTTGTTACATTCTCAATCCAACATCTCCATTATTTTGTGTTCTAGGTTTGGCTTAATAACCTTAAAAAGTCTTACTGAGAGCATAGTGAAGGGATTCACACCAAGGATGAAAGGTGTTTGTTAAGGTGCGATTAAAGGCTTTCTTTTGTAATAAAGGAAGAAAATTCGGGTAAGATCTGTTAGAGATGTTGATGATTCTGCAAGGCTTTGAGAACGTAACTCATGACATATTAGCACCACTGATACAAATGTTAGCAACCAGAAGCAGAGAAAAATTACAGCACACAAAGAGACCATTCAGCCCATTTTGTCTGTGCCATCTGAATAAATTAGCTGGCCACTTAATCACTCTTTCCAGCTTCTGGTTTGTAGACTTCTAGTTTATAGTATTTCATGTGCAGATTCAGGTCCCTTTTAAAGCAGTTGAAGATTTCCACTTCAACCACAAAGCTGGGTAGTAAATTCCAGACACTGCAATTCTCTGGGTGAAAGGACAAGTTTTATAGCAAAATTGTTCATAGTTCACAGAAAAGATATGTTCCAATGAGGTAGAAAAATTCTAGAATGGGGATAAGCCAACTATGGCTAACCAGGGAAGTTAAAGGTTGCATCATGTTGAAAGAAAAGAAAACATACAATGTGGCAAAAATTAATGGCAATACAGGGGATTGGGAGCATTTTATAAACCAAGTAAAACCAACCACAAAATTAAAGAGGAAGGAGATAAACTTTGAGGAAATCTGCAAATAATATCAAGATGGAATGTAAGAGCTTCTTTAAATCTATGAAAAGGAAGATAGAGGTCAAAGTTAACATTGGCCCTTAGAGAAAAATGATGGGGAAATAATAATGAGGAACTAGAAAATGGTAGTGGAGTTGAATAAATCTGTCACATCAGTCTTCATGTTGGAAGACACTAATAGCATTCCAAAATTACCAAATAATCAAGGGGCAAAAGTAAGCAAGAAAATAAATTCAATAACTATCACTAAAGAAAAAGCTCTAGGAAACTAATGGGGTAAAGGCCAATAAGTCCCCTGGTCCTAATGGGATGCTTCCTGGGACATTAAAGGAAGTATCTACGGAGATGGTGGTGACATTGGTAGCAATCTTCTAAGATCCCTTAGATTCTGGAAGAGTCCCAGAACTTTGGAAAACTGCCAGTGTAGCACCATCATTCAAAAAGGGAAGGAGAAAAAAAAATAACCATAGGTCATTGAGGTTAAAGATTGATATTGGGAAAATGTTAGAGTCTATTACAAAGGATCTAAAAGCAGAGCATTTAGAAATTTATAATTTGATCAAGCAGAGTCAGCATGGCTTCTCAAAGGGGAGATCAGCCAGACAAATTTATTAGAATTCTTTGAAGAGATAACAAGCAAGATAGGTAAATGGAAAATTGTGAATGCTATATATTTTCAGAGGCATTTGGTAAAGTACAAGACATTAGCCAAATTAATCAGATATGAGCCAAAGGTGTTGAATGGAATATATTAGCATGGATTAAGAATTGGTTAAGTAATAGAAGTTCGAGAGTTGGGATAAGGAGAACATTTTCAGTATGGCAGCCTCTAACTGGTGGAGTGTCACAGGGATCAGTCCTGGGGTCACAATTATTTACAACATACATTAATGATTTGGATGAGGGAAGCGAATGCCCTATAGCCAAGTTTGTGGATGATATAAAAATAGGTGGGAAGGCAAGTGGTGGGGTGACACGAAGAGTGATATAGTCAGGTTAAATGTATGGAAAAAACTTGGCAGATGAAATATAATGTGGGAAAATGTGAGGAGTTGAATATTATTTAAATGGAAAAAAGACTGTAGAAAGCTATGGCACCAAGGGACTTGGGGATCCCAGTGCATGAATTACAAAAAATACTGTCCCAAGTTCCGCAGGTAATAGGGAAGACAAATAGAATGTTGGCCTTTGTTTCAAAGGGAATGGAGTACAAAAGTAGGAAGGTTTTGATAAAACTATACAAAACACTAACAGCTGGAATACTGTGAACAGATTCAGGTCCCTTATCAAAGGACCAATATTCTGGCATTGTAGATAGTTCCGACAAGGTTTACTATGCTAATCCAGAGATGGAGGGGCTGGTTTATAAGGAGACATTGAGTAGGTTGATATAATAAGGTGTAGAGCTGGATGAACACAGCAGGCCAAGCAGCATCAGAGGAGCAGGAAGGCTGATGTTTCAGGCCTAGACCCTTCTTCAGAAATGGGGGAGGGGAAGGGGATTCTGAAATAAATAGGGAGAGAGGGGGAGGCGGATAGAAGATGGATAGAGGAGAAGATAGGTGGAAAGGAGACAGGCAGGTCAAAGAGGCCGGGATGGAGCCAGTAGAGGTGAGTGTAGGTCGGGAGGTAGGGAGGAGATAGGTCAGTCCAGGGAGGGCGGGCAGGTCAAGGGGGCGGGATGAGGTTAGTAAGTAGGAGATGGGGGTGGGGCTTGGAGTGGGAGGAGTGGATAGGTGGGAGGAAGGACAGTTTAGGGAGGTGGGAACGAGCTGGGCTGGTTTTGGGATGCGGTAGGTGGAGGGGAGATTTTGAAACTTGTGAAGTCCATATTGATACAATTGGGCTGTAGTGTTCCCAAGCGGAATATAAGGTGCTGTTCCTGCAACCTTCGGGTGGCATCATTGTGGCACTGCAGGAGGCCCAGGATGGACATGTCATCTGAGGAATGGGAGGGGGAGATGAAATGGTTCGCGACTGGGAGGTGCAGTTGTTTAGTGCAAACCGAGCGTAGGTGTTCTGCAAAGCGGTCCCCGAGCCTCCGCTTGGTTTCCCCGATGTAGAGGAGGCCACAACGGGAACAGCGGATGCAGTATACCACATTAGCAGATGTGCAGGTGAACATCTGCTTGATGTGAAAAGTCTTCTTGGGGCCTGGGATTTGGGTGAGGGGGGAGGTGTAGGGGCAGGTGTAGCACTTCCTGCGGTTGCAGGGAAAAGTGCCGGGTGTGGTGGGGCTGGAGGGGAGTGTGGAGCGAACAAGGGAGTCCCGGAGAGAGTGGTCCCTCCGGAAAGCAGATAAGGTTGGGGAGGGAAAAATGTCTTTGGTGGTGGGGTCGGATTGCAGATGGCGGAAGTGTCGGAGGATGATGCGTTGGATCCAGAGGTTGGTGGGGTGGTACATGAGGACGAGGGGGATTCTGTTTTGGTTGTTATTGCGTGGACGGGGTGTGAGGGATGAGTTGCGGGAAATGTGGGAGACACGGTCGAGGGCGTTCTCGACCACTGAGGGGGGGATGTTGCGGTCCTTGAAAAATGAGGACATCTGAGATGTACAGGAGTGGAATGCCTCATCCTGGGAGCAGATGTGGTGGAGGTGAAGGAATTGGGAATAGGGGATGGTATTTTTGCAGGAAGGTGGGTGGGAGGAGGTGTATTCTAGGTAGCTGTGGGAGTCAGTGGGCTTGAAATGGATATTGGTTTCTAGGTGGTTGCCAGAGATGGAGACAGAGAGGTCCAGGAAGGAGAGAGAGGTATTGGAGATGGTCCAGGTGAACTTAAGGTTGGGGTGGAAGGTGTTGGTGAATTGGATGAACTGTTCGAGCTCCTCGTGGCAGCACGAGGCGGCGCTGATACAGTCATCAATGTAACGGAGGAAGAGGTGGGGTTTAGGGCCAGTGTAGGTACGGAAAAGGGATTGTTCCACGTAACCTACAAAGAGGCAGGCATAGCTTGGGCCCATGCGGGTACCCATGGCCACTCCCTTTGTCAGTAGAAAGTGGGAGGAATTAGAGTTTAAAAGAATGAGAGATGATGTTATTGAAACATGCAAGGTTTTAAAGGGTCTTGACAGGGTAGATGCAGAAACGTTATTTCCTTTCCTGGGAGAGTCTCAGACCAGATAGAATAATCTCGGAACAAGGGGTCATATACTTAAAACAGAGATTGATGAATAATTTCTTCTCTTAGTGTGTAATGTGTCTGTGGAATTCTTTGTCAGCATGATCTCATTTAATGGCAGAGCAGATTTGATGGGCCGAATGGCCTAATTCTGCTCTTTATGTCTTATGGTTTTATAGATATCCAGATTAACTGCCGCGTTTCTTTGAAGAAAATACTGATCACCAGGTCATGTAGGCAGGCACTTGTGGCTGTTATATCATGAGGTTCATTTCCTTTATGGATGAACTCCGAGCTTTGAAATCGGGTAGGGAGGCTTTTTAAAAGAATTCTAAAACTCTCAGGGCCCTTGAAAGGCAAAAGTGGCACAGGCTTTCTTTGCAACTGTTGTGTTATTGGTGTTATTCTGCAGTTTTCTTCTGAAATTTTTGATAAAAGGATTTCAGTATTGGAGAACCAATTCAGTCAAATTATCAGCTTTCATTGATACACAATGGATGGTTGATGCTGCCCTTTTGGCATCAGAGAACCATTTGAAGTCACAAGATCAATGGTCATTGATATCCAATAGGAGATAAATGTAGTCTTTCACACACAACTTGTGGATAAGTGGTCTTATCAGCTTTCCTTTGTTACATTACAAACCTGGAAACATAGACTCTGTGGTTTGGAGTGACCTTCAAACACTAGCAAGTGTGAATCCCACAGAGTAGTGGCATCTAAGTAAGTCATTTAAAACGAGGATGAGTTCAGTTTGGAACTTTCCATATATATTCTAATTAACCTGTTCAGAGATGCTATTACAGATCTCTGGAGCAGGACTTTGAACCCAATCCTCCTGGTTCAGAAGTAGAGACGCTACCACCGTGTCACAAGAACCCCTTAATATGAAATGCTTCACAAATTTGTGCAGCATCTTTGTACAGTGACAATGCTAATATTTTCTGTATTGTCCCAATTTTAGCATACGTACTGCTGAAGCAAACACTTTCTGAACGTTTGGTGCTGATGATGCAAAGATCATCCATCCTTTTCAGTAGCCATTTTAATACTTCGTACGTGCTCATTTATAAAGAGTTACCCTATTAAAATTTATATTATCCTCATATGTTTGCAGGACCTAATGCATACCACTCTGACACGCTGCTATCCTAGGGGAACAGGTTGAATTCTTTTTTTGACATGGTTTGCTTGTGAAACAAAGCGCAAGTGAATGTATGCACTCTTCTTCCACACTTGGATTTACACACTTTGTAGTCTGATACTACTTCAATTTCCCTGTTGCACATAGGAAGGATGTTGTAAAACTCAAAAGGGTTCAGAAATTGCCAGGGTTGGACAGTTTGAACTATAGGGAGAGGCTGAATAGGCTGGGGCTATTTTCCCTGGAGCGTCAGAAGCTGAGGGGTGACCTTATTGAGGTTTATAAAATCATGAGGGGCATGGATAGGATAAATAGACACGGACTTTCCCCGGGGTGGTGGTGTCCAAAACTAGAGGGTGTAGGTTTAAGGTGAGAGGGGAAAGATTTAAAAGAGACCCAATGGGCAATTTTTCATGCAGAGGGTGGTGCGTGTGTGGAATGAGTTGCCAGAGGAAGTGGTGGAGGCTGGTACAATTACAACATTTAAAAGGCATCCTGGATGAATATATGAATAGGAAGAGTTTAGAGGGATATGGGCTAAATGCTGACAAATGGGACTAAATTTATTTAGGGTATCTGGTTGGCCTGGATGAGTTGCAGCAAAGGGTCTGTTTCCGTACTGTACAGCTCTATGACTCTACGACTCCAAATCCCAGTTAACATTTATCTGGTGAATGTTTATTAATTTTGGCACACAGGATTTTAGGAATACCGACTTTATAAGATATGTGATTCTTGAGGCTGATAGTTCAAACCTCATGCTGGTTTCTATTAAGAGGGTAAATTTCACCAGACTGGACCTTGTTTGGAAGCTTGTAGTGTATAAATGTCTCTCACTGCTTTGCTGTGAACTCTGCAGAGTTCTTAACCCTTTCCTGAATTTCCACAGCCCAGAATCTGGTAAGTTAGGAATTTGAACATTTGTCTGCTTTCCTCCTCAGCTTATTTTAAATTCCCTTATTTAGTCCCTTTTATTGTCCTGTAAGTTTCTTTTGTTCTGATTCTTTCTACCTCAGAAAGCTCTCTCCAGGGCTTTGGGAAATTCTCTAGCTTCTCTTCTATTTCTCTTCTATTTATTGTCTTTATTACCTGCCTGTCGGGTGTTAGGGATGTTAGCATTCTGCAGCTGAACAGCTCTTTCTTTCTTGTTCTCTTCTGTTTCTCCAATTCCTGTATTTGACCTGTAGGCCTGTTTTTCACCAAGTCTTTCCCCATCAGTAGGTCTATTCCCACTATATGTAAGCTTGGAATCACCCTGACTACCACTACCCTGACAAGCCACTTACTCTGAGGTTACATTTTTACAAGAAGAGTCGCTTTCCTAACACTGTGATGTTTGTCCTGTTTTCAGGTAGCAAGTCAGTAATCCTTGTTCCCTCTACATCCTTTTAATCTTTTTGTTGTTGGTAAGGGCTATTGGATCTAAATTTGCTTAGATTTTGAGGCTTATCAGTTTAATTTTAGCCATGAATGCTGAATCTCTGGGAAACCTTTGATCCTTTCTGTGAGTTTTATGCTGTATGGGAAACAAATTTTAAACACCTCCGGCAGTACTGTTTCCCTTAAGCCTTTGCAAATATAATCTATTCATAGGACACAGACTCAAAGGTCAAGAGAAAGCTGTTTAATTCTTTCAAACTCAAGGGAGGACTGAGTGAATGTTTTATAGGAATTGAACAATTTTTGGTAGTTTGTTTCCTGCTTGAGTTCATTGGCATTGAGAATAGAAACCTTTACTTTCATTGTGAATGGCATAATTATCAGCAGGCTGCATAAAATAAACTTCTTGGGTTTTTCCAACTTGTTGACCAGGTATTATGAGGGTCCAAAATGTAATTGTAATTGAGGTACCGGTGTCCAAAGGCTGAAAAAAATATTTCTACATCCTCCCCTTCAAAACTGTGGACAAATTGAGAATACTTCAGTGAATCAATATCTGTCTCTGGGTAATGGTACTGAAATTTCCAATGGACCAAGTTAGGTTTTCTCTAGCTGCTATGATCTATTTCAATCCCCTACCTTTTAGTGCCTGTAACACCCTTCCAGCTTTTTGAACTGGGAACCATGTTCCCTCTATCTTCCCTTTCCCTCTCTTTACCTTGAGACTCTAATTCTAGCTCCTGCTCTTCCAGCAAACATTGACTAGGGCATCTGGGTCTGTTTCAGTTTCAATTTTCTACTATCCCTTTAAAATCCAAAGGGAGACCCACTGTTCAGTCAGCATGTTTTGTGGCTTGGAACCAATGTTTTGTTTTGTGTGTTAGATTCTACCAGATTAGCTATGTTCTATGTTCTATGGCTGTTCCATTTTAAGGAGCATTAGTTTTTGCCAAATTTAGTCCACAGTGCTGCAAGCATTTTTGTGTGGAATCTAGTCACGTTACTTCCTCACGTTATTATGCAAAACCTGCAGCTGTGGTCCTTTGTTTAAAAAAAAGGGCTCAACTATTGAACTTTCCCCTTTTGGCTTCCAATTATCATCTCTTTCTGTTCCAATTGGTGGTGTAAATCCTTGATGCAGTTTTCAATATCTGCTACAAACATGGGAGGAGAGATAAACTGATACCCCAAATTCTCATCCTATCTGTCCATAATCAGCATGGTTTAATTTGAAAATGTAGATATTTCAAAATTGCTGTTATTGTGTGGTCAATTTAAGAACACCAGCAACAAATTTCATTGAGATTAAACAAAGGATTAATCATTCACACACTGACACCAAAAGATTTAATGTTATGTCACAAAAGAAGGAAGTATATTTCTACAAGTATTGAGGTAAAAGAATAGTTTCATAGCTCAATGTGTCTTTGATAGGCCACTGAAAAAGGAAGCTCTTTCCCGCTTTTGTACTTTAGATGAGTTCAGATAGCTTGGTCAGATATCCAGATTTACAGTACTGTTCTTTGTAGACAAAACTGCTCAGCTGTCATGTAGTCAGACTCTCATGGTTATTGTATCAGAAGGTCCAATTTCTTTACAGGTGAACTCAGAGCTGTGGAATTAGACTGAGAGGCTTTCAAAATTGCTTTCAGCCTCATGGTTTTTTAAAAGCCAAAAATAGCTCAGCCTTTCTCAGCAGCCAGTTTCTTGTCAGTGTTATTCTATAGTCTGCTGCTGCTCTTTTCTGAGTTTTCAGATAAATGTATTTAGCATCAGCGAACCAGTTTCAAACACGTGATCAATGGCCAAAGATGCAAAATAGAAGATCAATGGTAGTATTTCAGAATGAGTGAATCAGTTTCAGTCACATGGTTCAAGGATATTGATATTAAATAGAAGGTAAATTGTGATCTTTCAAATTTCATTATGGAATTTAGTCTGATCAAACTTCCTTTATTACATGCCTGGAGACATAGACCTTATATTGCTATGACTTACAAGAACCGTTACAGGGGTGAGAGATTTTATCTGCAAGGTTAGATTGGAGAAGATGGACTTGTTTTTCTTGGAACAAAGAAAATTGAGGGGAGATTTGACAGAGATGTACAAGATTATGATAGATTTGCATCATGTACACAAAGAAAAGCTGTTGCCATGAGCGGATCAAACAAGGGCCATGGTGGGGCGGGGGGGGGGGGGGGGGGGGGACATCACTTTTAGGTTTTAGATAATGAGAAAAGAAACTGCCAGTCAGCTCAATGTGATTGCTTTTATTACTACTTTTAACATTGAATACAATAAAAGTGATCAGTGCAAACTGAAGCAAAACAATATTCCTGTTCTTCTGGAAGTGTGGAGTAACCACCAGGATTGCTACCAGTTCTAGGCAAATACTGAAATTCCATCTAGAACTTGCTTGACATTAGAGATTCTTATTTCCCTCACCTTCTATATCAGCTTTCCTCATAAACTGGCCATTCTTGATGCTGCAGTTTCCCTCATTCCTTTCCCACGAGAACTAATAGCAGTCCACCATTGCCGTTTGGTGGACTGCTGGTGGCATGTTTTCTTATTTCCCTTTTCTGGCACCAACCAATCAGATTATGTGATCAGCAGGCAGGAATGTTTTAGAACTCCATTTTGCTGCCATTAATTTCAAAACACAGAAACCACCAACTAACTCAGAGTTCAAGTCTAGTTATTAATACGCATCTGAATAGACTTAAACTGAAGAGACATCACAGCCTAGATTTCAGGGAAGGGAATTTGTTCTTGCAGAAACTGGGCAGTACATCATTAGCACACGTCTCCCTGTTAGTGTGTTGTCACCACCTCTATTTCTGGAATCAGCCTCATTTATATTCTCTCAGTAAGCCCCTGACATCAATTGAGGCCTTGCAGTAGTTTAAAGAAATATTGCTGTTTCTGACAGCAAAAAAAACTATCACCAGAATACAGCAAATTATAAAGTTACCTTCAGCAAGTTGCTGCAAGCTGCAAGTGCCACTGGTCTTCAAGTGATGCTCTAGAGAACTTATTAAAACCTGTTGAGAACATCTTCCTGACCTGTCACTGTGGAGAGCTCCCAGGTCAGAATACCGGGCAGTTATTAGGTACAATTTCTAAGGCACCATTTAGTGGATCCAGCTATACGACATTAAACATATTAATAACCATTCAAAGTAGAAAAAGGTGTTATCCTAATACCATAAACCATAAATGCATGACACCTGTATGTTACCTCTTCCTCACATGGTCTTTTAATGACTTGGAGTGCTATCCATGACTGACTTTTACCCAGTAAAGCACTGAAAACAGTAACAAGCTTCTTTTGTAAGTGTTCCTTATCTTGCCTCTTTCCAGTTGCTGTAAATGCATGGTGCACGTATAGGTCACTTGCTTGCTGATGGCTGGTGAGATTCCTGTATGTCATCCTGGCAGTTTCAGTGTTTAATTTCCCAA